TTTTTTTTTTTTTAGTTCTTTTTTTTTTTTTTTTTTTTTTTTTTTTTTTAAAGATTCAGAGTAAGAAGTTAGCCATTGTAGGTAGATTCTCTCATTTGGACTTTTCGATAAGGTGGCAGGCCTATGTCTTGGGTTGGTGTTTTCTATCCATTCAAAACAACAAGATGGGAGCAACTTTCGTCCATCGGGATAGTGTTCAAACTCGTACGAATTTTCCTACCTCAAATTTGTAGGCTACTTTTTTCCTTTGGATTCTTTTTGGTCCAAGTGGTGGCAATTAGGCAAGTCCAAACAAAAATCAGTGTCAATTTAGAAGAGGAAAATTAGGAAATTCGTCGCACTTTAATTCTCCCTTTAGTTTTGTACGACCTCTATTTTCTGTTCTTTTTAATTCGATATATAGTGTAAAAAGGTAAAGACATCAAAAAATCTTAATGCCCCTCTGCTAAAGATGGTATTCTTCTAAATTTCCTGATTCAAAATAAATCTCCCCGTTGACGCAAGCCCAACCCACCATGTGTATATGTGCAAATTGCTTTCACAAACACTCTACAAGCTCATCGAAACATCCCCCTCTCTCCATGATCTCCTCTCAGACCTTTAGTTGGGCATGTAAAAAGTTCAGGAAAATGTAAACCGAATCTGCACCTAGTCCTAGCAAACAAAATAAACACCAAAAAACAAACACACTACATAATTTACATTATACAACAAATCACAACCATCTACTCATCTCCTAGAACGCTTTCTGGGCCTCCCTCCAACAACCCCCACCTCCGACTGATCAGCATTGTCTCTCCTCCTCTTCCCGTTTGCAGCCACCACCTTCTCCGGTCTCTTCGGCGGCCTTCCAACCCCTCTCTTCCCCTTTTGACTCTCCTCCTTCGTCCCCTTACCATGCGTAGAACTCCGCGTTACCCTTTCCTTGGTCGGGCTCGCCTTCTTCGACTTACCCTTATTCCTCTTCTTCTCCTCCTCCTTTTCCACCTTACTATCTTCACTATCTTCTTCCGAAACGTCTTCCTCCGCCGCTTGCTTTGGCGAGTTCTGCTTCATCCTCTTCAAGAAGCTCGCCACGCCTTGCTTCTTCTTTACGGCCTCTTTCTTGTCCATCTTCACTTCCAATGCGTCATGCGAACTGAGCTCATTCCCTCCGAACTCTCGCTCACTTTCCCCGCTGCCATTGTTGCCCGTTTTCGAGCCTCTTCGCCCTACTCTTTCTTGGCTCCTCTTTTTCCTTATACCCTTGTCCTCAATCGCTACAAAAGAGCCATTAATCTTCTTCTCATTAACGGACTTTTGTTTCTCTTCCACTACTCTTTCTTTCTTATGATCAAACCCCTTTCTGTTGGACACTTCGGAAGAAAGTGCTTTAGTACTTGAACCACCGCGTTTACCGCACGTAACAATGATAGAAGACTTCTTGACATTGTTGTTTTGGGGTTTGGGGAGTACTACTGAATTACGATCTTCACGTTTCACGGTCAACGTTTGACTTCTCACTAGCTTCTTATCTTTGCTCATTTCCTTCAACACTAGAGCACGTAGCTCTCGTGCTGCCACGTGTTCCTGAGAACCTTTGCGAAAGAAAACGACGCCGTTGTTGAATACGAGGAGAAGGTCTCTAAAGAACTTGAGGGATGAATCCAAGTAGAGGCCTTTCTCTAGTCTGGCTTCCACCGTCTGGAGGTCCATGTGTTGCCGGATCAGGTTTTTGTACCTTTGAGATTCCTGCAAAATATATACATATATAGCACGTGCGTTTCTCCATTAGCAAGATCAGTCAAATTCTAAATCATGTTTACGTAGCATATGTTACTTTGTTGTGAACACTTATCTATGCGCATTTTCATTTGTGCCGAAAAGCATAATAATCTTCGAGGGATACATGCACAACCAAGACCTTGGAGTTTTCACTTTCCCAAAAAAATAAAAATGCTATACGTCACTAGGAACAAATTAAAAATAAAATAAAGGAAAGAAAGAAAGAAAGAAACCCAATAAAAAATAAAAACCTTAGCTTTAACAACCGAGTACTTTTTTTTTTGGTGGTGAAATCCAATAAAGGGCTTGTTGGTAACTTGGTATCCTCAAATCAATCGTATTTCATATTCTATGACTGCCACGTGGCCCGTCCTTAGACAGGGTGGGATTGTCTTAATTCTTAAGCCACTAGTGCTTTGCGGCTTGAGCGGTAAAGGTGGTAATGCTAGGTGGAGTTAGTGAGTATCCAATTCATGGGCCTAAAAGGACCTCCCACGACAAGAAAAAATGAAAAATTTATCCTTACTTTAAATTTTTACCTTTTATTCTTAATAAATATCTTTTTATTAATATAATTATTTAATTAAAAAAATTATAAATAAAAGAATAAAAGAATAAAAATCTCAGATATTTATCAAAATTACCATTCCAACAACCAGACGAAACCAAACAAAGAAGTCGTATGGTTCTGATTTTGGGCTGGGATGGGTACAAAGCCCACACATTCGGACAGCCCAAGCAGCCCCGCCCATAACACGTGCATTTCCATTTCCCTCCTACAGGTTTTATCTTTTTTTTTTTTTTTTAAGATTAGAATCCCACTACTTCGGTTTTCAAACAGATAATATTTTAGATAATTACGTGATTCTACCTGACGCAATTATGAGCTCTATACTGTCAGTAACACATTTTTTTAATTATAATTAAAAATATCCTTTTTATAAAAAATGGAGGATAAGAAAAAAATTAAAAAAGGAAATAGTAAAGTCCAGCGCAAGATGACACGGAGACATTCTGGGTATAATACTAAGGAGCCAAGTGGAAAATTGAAACCGAAGACGACGAAGAATATCAATCGTTTCCTTTTTCTCTTCTTTCCTCCAAACTAGCGTGAGCCTCATTCTCATCCGCTGCGGCCCAAGTTACCTCCTTGACCAATCACATTGGTTTATTTCCACTCCACACCCAAAAATATTAAACACCCAAAAAAAATAAATTTGTTTCGTTCAAAAAATCGGCAATTCCATTATTAATTGATCACCATATCACCATCATCGTCCGTGAATGTCGCTGTGATATTGGCCCATAACAAATCTAACCGGCTGTTGGCTATTTTTTTCTTTGTTTCCCGGTTCTATAACTTGATTTTAATTCTATTTAATCATTTTTTATATTTTTTTAATTTAATTCTTTTCCAGATAGTTTTTAAGAAAAAAAAAAATTCGAAAGAGAGATTTTTCGTCAAAGCAAAGCCAAAAGGTATCTTGGCTCTTCTGTGAAAACTTATAAAAAAAAATTATAAAAAAAAGAAAAGAAAAAGAAAAGAAAAGAAACGAGAAAGAAGAAAGAAACGGAGAAAATAAAAATAAAAGTACCTGGCTACGAAGCCGGCGTTGGAAGACAGAGCCGAGCCGGTGCGAGCGAATGATCCCGAGAAGCTTAACGAACGGCTCAGATTTGAGAGCCGAAAGTCGTTTGGTGGCGGGAGAAACCTCGTCTCCCTCCGTCTCCTCGGGTTCCTCGCCGCTGCTACTTCCTCCGCCGCCGCCGCCAACACGACGCCGTTTTCTCTTCGAAAGGCTCATCGAACTCTGCGCTTCGCTGCTCTGCTTCGCGCTATTCTCACCCCGCGCCACGTTATCTCCCTCATCCTCCTCCGCTTTTCCCCCGCGCTCCGATTCCGAGCGATCCGATTCGTTCCTCTCGGGTTCGGGTCCCGGCTCCGCTTTTACCGATACGACGCCGTTTCGCTGGAAGTCGTTGCGTTTTTGACCGGTGGAATTCGACTCGTTGAAGGATCGGTTCTCACGATCGCACGATTCGGAACCGTCGTCGCCGGACTTCGATCTACCGCCGCCTCCTCCGCCGCGATTCTCCGAAGAGGTCTCGCCGTCTCCGGCTCCGGTAACTCCGTCGTCACCGTCGAGATTCTTCTTCTTCTTCTCCGGCCCCGACGCCTCTTCTTCCTTGAGACTCCGCTCTCTCTCCTCCTCCATCCTCTTCACTTTCAACTCCAACGACCTGTAAAAAACGCAACATCACATCACAATCGCATATTTTCTCAGATCTCAACAGATCTCCGTCAAGAAAGAGGCGGGATTTACACGATCGAGTCGTCGCGGCGGCGGACCTCGCGGCGGAGCTCATCCACCCGAATCTTCTTGAGCTGGTCGACCATGGTAGACGAGGATTTTTCATCGTCGTCCTTGTCGGACATCATGAAGCGTCGCTTGAGGTCGTCGAACTTGTGCCTACAGTTCTCCGGCGTCAAGAAGGCGGAGGAGGTCCGGTTCTGGACTTCCATGGCGATGGAGTCCCAACTCTTTGTGCCGTGCCGGTTAACGGCGCACGCTAGCAACAGTTCCTCCAACGTGCCCCACGGTTGCACGCTCGTTTCGTGTTCCCTAGCCATGCTCCTCTCATGTCATCATTGGTTTTCAAAATTAGGGTTTTTGGTTTTATATATTTGTATATTTTTGTGTGTGTGTATATATATATAGATGTGTGTGTGTGTTTATATATGTGTGTGTATATATATATATTTTCACGCACGAGAGATTCAGATAAATTTGGTTCGATAATGGTTCCCCATCTCTGCCTTTATATATTTCTTCTTTATAAAATTATAAGTGGCTCTTCTGCGGTTGCGTTTTATTTAATTTTTTTTTCTGCTAGTAAGTCATTGAAAATTTCATTGCTTTTGGGTCATGTCTTTTATCTTCGTGACTGGGTTTTGCTTTTCCTCATCAGAGTGTTATTGGGGTTTTGATTTCTTTGTACCTCGCCGTCTCGCTCTACTACTACCTTGACTAGTTGGGCCGGGCCTAAAAAATAAATCTAATCACATTCACAATTTTTGGGTAAATAAAGGCATGTTTTTTGTTCAAAAAAAACTCAGAAAAAAAGGCAATTTAAGTTTCGTTCACATTCTTTTAAGTTTTAATTTTATTCAATTTTACTTAATTTTATTCAAATTAAAAAAAAGGCAATTTAAGTTTCGTTCACATTCTTTTAAATTTTAATTTTATTTAATTTTATTCAATTTTATTTAAATTTTAACTTTAACTCAAGTTATAACTCAAATTTAACTCAAAAACTACACTCAAGTTATACTCTAAAAAAACAACTAGTTTTTTTAACTCTTAAATCTACATATTTTTTCTTTTACATAATTTTATATAAATTTAATAGATAAAAAACTTAATTTATCGGTATATTAAGGTATCGAAAAAAAGTCTTTTATATTATAGTTAAACACACTAAAATACCCAACAACAAAAAAAAGCCAACACCGGAGAAGAGAATAATTAGTCCGGTGCATGTTGAGTTTGAGTGTCAACAATGTTCTACAATGGTCTCGATTTAATCGTCTGTTGTTGATCCAAATCCTTCCACTAAACGTAACTTTATTCGAGTCCAGTCCAATGATATTCTATCATTTGTGTTTCCTAACTCAGCCCAAAAGCATATAGAAGCGAAGAAATCAAATTTTAAGATGGAAAAAAATATTTTTATGTTTGTGATAAATCTTTTATTCATGTTTGTCTCTTTAATAAGTTTTCTTTCTTTCTTAAAAAAAAAAAAAAATCACCAATGTCTTTTTGACTTGTTTGATAAAATGAAAGAATGTGCAAATCAGTTTATTCACTCTTTTTTTCCCGAAAAATGAAAACAAGGATGTGTCGCTCTAGATAAAAAATGACAGACTCTTGCACTAATACAATTGGAACATCAAAATCACTTTGCCAAAAAAAATAAAAATAAAAATAAAAAACAAGAAGGAAAGGAACAAATGTCTGTCGCCTTAAAAAAAAAAGAAAGAAATTAACAATTGCTAGAGGTTACTCTGTAGAGATAAAACTACAACATTCTTCTTCTTATTTTTTCTTTTTTTTCTTTTTTTAACCGCGTCATTTTTAAAAGAACGACCCGGTTAAAAAAATATATATGTGAATGGATTTTGTATACGTCGCTTCGAAAAACGTCATGTCTTATTCATCAACGACAGCAAACACTTGAAGTTTGAACTAGATAAACGGGTCTTATATTTACCTGCAATCGGATTAAAGCCAGAGTCTGAATGAAGTGTGTTTATTCAAAGAGAACGACACGAAACTTTATGATTATAAATGTAGGATTAAAAAGCTGGTTGTTGGCTTGGCTGTCTACGAATTGTTGCTTCACTCATTAGATGTCAACGTCGTTCGGTAGTTTTGTGTCGTTTGTGTTACTTATCTATTATTATCTTGTCGTTAACTATGAGACTTCAGGTTCTGCTTTTCTGAATATATACGGGGCTTTTCATCAAGCACCTTCACGGCACCCTCCATTCTTAAACGACACAAATAAACATAAATTTCCTCTCTATTATCCTCCTTCTAAACCACATATGAAAACCAACTTGTCATAGTTAGCATAAACGATAACAAATTTTTAGCAAGTAGAACGATATGTCGTCTTGAATAAAGGAACAATATACTAATAAACCACAGATTAAATGTCGTCTAATTAAATCGACATAATTTTTGTCGTTTTGAAATTTAAATAAATGAGCACAAACTTTTTTCATAAGGGAAAGAACATGTCTCTGTCCAGCTTAAGCGACATTTTTTTTTTTTTTTTTTTTTTGCACAACATACTTTAATAAATTTTTAAAAGAAGACGACATGTTAGCTTTTCACTGCATAAAACTGAACTTCTTTAAGTAAGAAAATAATAATAAAGGAACTTCAAAACGTAACCTAATTTAAGAACACAAACGACATGTCATTAAATATTAGAAATGAGTAGGAGTTGCTGCAAATGTATGACAACATGTCGTTTCCCACGTCAAAGGACAGAAAAATGTTATTCATAAAATGTCGTTTGAGGAACAACCAAGAAAATTAATGGGCTATTTGTTTCATATAATCAAACTCAAATCATTAATTCTGCTATAATATTTTTTTCTCTCAAAAAATTTTTATTTCACACGTTAAAATTAAGAATCATGATTTAAATATACCTTACAAACAAGCCTGTTACGTATCTTTAATTTCTAGGACAACAAAATTTCAAATGCAAATTGGCATGTCATTATGAAGGATACATAAACGACTAAAGGACACAAATTGAATTAATCATGTGTGGATACAAAAGCTTCATCCATTTCATCAATTCGAGTTTTCAATTTCAGTTTTGCTACAGTTTAAAGCTCCCACAAAAAGTCACATATAACTTTTCTGCTACAGTGAAATCTCTCACATAAAATCGCATCTAAACTTGAATCCGTAAACTGAACAATACTAAAGTTTTACTAGCAACACTATTACGAAGATCATTACTTTATGAAAAAAAAAAACTTGTGTAACCTAATTTCTACAAAAATGTACTTCTCTTAAATTATGTATTTTATGGATCCAAGTTTCTTGAAGAAAACGTAAAAAAAAAAAAAAAAAAACTACGCGTTAAAGTAAAACCTGTAGAAGTGATGATCTTATCCTATTTTCATTTGTTTATTTATTTTGTTTCAAGTAAATAAAATTGGAGATTTTTACATACAACCTAAAAAAACAAACTATTAGTATGTTTTTATTTTTTAACCGTCAGATATTTATATTATTAGAAATTATTTGTAAACCTTATTATGAAAAGACCTAATAGTATTAATTTTGGCAAGTAAAATAAATCTGTTGACAGCCTCATTAGCGTTTCAATTTTCGATCAAGTACTATTTTTTCATAGTTGGTGACTCATAAATCATATTATGAGCCTGTTTAGGAGAGCTTTCTAAAAGCTGATTTTAGCTTCTTAAGTTTAAAAGTTATTTCTAGGAGTGTTTGAATGATTTGTCAAAAGTATTTTGACTTTTTAAAAGAGTTTCTACTCAAAGCTAAAAATAATGGCTTTTAAAAAAAAATACTTTTGAATAGATTTTAAAATTTGTACTAGAGTTTAATTAAGACATTATAAACTTAATTCTAACACTTTTATTACTTATTAAAAAATTTAAAAATTATTTTGACCCATTAAGCTATTTATTTTAAACACTTGCTGCAAAATTAACTTTTGATTCTTTTCTTTTACTGGCTAATAACAAAAGTAAAAATTATGCCAAACGGGGTTATAGCGATTAGTTGCTCGGACTTAAAACTTATCGACCAAGCATGGAAACTAGAATAGCATTAAAAAAAGAAAAAAAAATAAAGTTTTGGCGGGAAACATTTGAACCTACTGTTCATAGGGTCTGTGATTTTTCTGTAAAAAAAAACCGGAAAAAAAAATCTAGCCTCGTTTATTTCACCAATTTAAATTTTTAATTTTTAATTTTTACAGTAAAAAATTATTAGAAAATGTTACACTTAATTTTTTTTGTTATAATAAATTTTTTAAAAAAAATATCACATCTCAACTCAAATTGAAAATTCGAATCCGTAAAGTGAACGAGGCCTAAAATATTCAGGATTTTATTCAGCATTTATAATCCTTGCTTTCCTCTGATTCTCTGAACTGGGGTTGTTTCTTCTTTTTTTTTAATCCAAAAATGGCTACACTCGAGTCCATGGCCAACCCTGACTCAGTTGCAACTCATGATCACGACGAGTCTACTCAGCCGACTCCGATCGATCCCGTGGAACGTCGAGTGCTTCGCACCAAATATCGCGCCGTAATCGATAAGATCAATGGTGTCAAAATAAGAAATCGTTCGCTCTTTCTCTCTCTCTGAAATTAAAATATTATTATTATTTATTATTATTTATTATTTTTTGGTTTTGTAGTTACTCTTTTTTTTTTTTCATTATTTTTTTCTCTTTTCCACTATTCGTTGTTACAGAGAAGAAAGATGAATTAGCGAGACCAGATTCGCAGAAGTTCTATGTTATCGCCGACGAAGTGGAAAACCTGTACAAGAGCGGTACTATTACTATTACTATATATCCCTCACTGAAAATTCACTCTTTATTTTTTAGTAATACTAATTTTTTGGTTAAGGTATTTATTTTTTTTTTATAAAAAAAAAAAGAAAATTTGTGTAAGTGGTGACTAGTATCAGATGGAGAAGCTAAATTGGGAATGGCTAAGGCACTTGAAGCCTGCGTTAAGTCTGACTCCAGCGCTGGTATTTCCCCACCAGATTTTGTTTTCTGTGTCTTAAGAGATTTTGGAGACTCTCATGGTGGATATTCAGCTTTCAAGAATTCTATTTCTTGGAAAAACATTGGCCTTCATGTTTCTCCCGCTTTCCTCGAGGCTTAGGGCTGTCACACAATGTGAGTCATTCCTTTTTTTTTTTTTTAATTTCACAAAATGTTTGTCACAACACAAGAGTCATTGTTATTACTATTATAGTCAAATGTCTCGTTTATTTCACCGATTTGAGTTTTTAATTTTAAGTTTTTACAGTAAAAAGTTTTAAAAAAATGTCACATCTAACTTTTTATGTTACAGTAAAAAACTCTTAGAAAATATCACATCTCAGCTCGAATTGAAAACTCGAATCCGCGAAGTGAACAAGACCAAAATCAACACCACAGTCATCGCTGTATACGTGGACATCATTTAGAGAAAAAAGTCAAGTCGAATTGACTAAAATCAACTTGAGTCCAGATTGACTTAAAACAACTGAAGAAAACTTACGACATGAGAAGTGTAGGGACCGCAACCGATATTTAAAAAAATAGATTTCTTGGAGGCCACGAAGATTATTTCAACTAAATCCTACTTAAAATGGTCAAATCAGATCAATAATAAACATGGAATATCTCAAGAAATCAATATTAAAACAAGCAAAAAGAAAGTCAACTGAATAAAAAGAGAAACTATCCGATCTAAGAGAAAAAAAAACTAGAAGGCCATCTCCTATGAATAGGGAACGAGAATCACGACCAAGACATTTCATGGATCATGGATCATGTTTGCTCGTATGATTGATTTAGCGTTTGCTCGTGCATAACCATTGATCATGTCATGTGCAACAGTTTGAAGATACTTGGTCGGAACAATTAGAAAGAAATGATACAACGGTAGAAATAACTGTGGAGGCAAATGGTTCACATCCTGTTTGCAAGTTCAATTTTTAATGCAGTTGTAAGCTTGGATTTCAATTGTCATTTACATTTACATTTTTTTTCTTCTACTAAACTCATTTCGTCGAACCTCAGTATTTCTTTCCTTTTTTCAGCGCCTAAGAATGCTTCTGATGCTGCTTCTGCTGCATCAGGGGAGGTGAACTACAACCATTTTGTCCTCAGATTTGATTTCAATGACTGGAAGGTATAGTTTTCAGGCCCTTTAGTGTATATTGGGTCGAGTTTTCGGCTTGTAGACTTTACATAATCCTTCCAATTATATGCAAATTATAATCTCTAACATTACTTTGATTATCTTGTTGTGATATGTGGTTTTGTACTTAATCTTTTGTTTTGCAGTTGATGACTGATGTGGTGCCAATTGGGGAGGAGTTGATGCCTCATAGAAGCATCTCTATTGCCACCAACGTTGAAACAACAACAGATATTCCCATGGCAACACCAATTAGAAAATTCTCAAAGAACAGAGGTTAACTTGAAAAATCTCATATTATATATATATATATATATATATGCAGTATATATTAGGAAGAAAGGAGGAAATAGGCCAAGACTTGAGATCAATTAAAATTAATAGGCCAATAGTTTATATAAGTTAATAAATAGGCCAAATTACTGTTTTCATCCATAACTTGTCTGGTTATGAACCATAACTTGACAAGTTATTCCCGATTCTTGTCTATAACTTGTCTGACTATGAACCATAACTTGACAAATTTGTCCATAACTTATCTGGTTATGAACCATAATTTAACAAGTTATGGCCTATTAATTTCTATAACTAAAAGTTAGCCTATATACTTTTTTAAGCTTTTCATATTGGCTTATTTCCTACCATTTCCCTTATATATATTGAATCCTTAGGTAGGTAAAGTCCTAACCTCCATAGCCTTTCTACTCCAGATGTAGCATTACGTGAAATCAACTTCAGGGCCTGCTTTTTGTAAAAGTACCTTTTGCTACAGACTTTGGATACCACATGTATTCTACTAAATTACTAATGACGATTTGAGAATGCTTTTGTTTAATTCTTACAAATTTGTTGTCTAAGCTTTCCATTTAGGGGAAGAAATGATCATAAAAGGAAAAGACTAAAGAGAGTTAGAGGAAGTCTTTAGTGAATAATATGATTGACATTGTGCACGTTGAGCCATTCTCACATAGGGCTGGCCTCAGTTTCCAACAAGCATTGAGTGCATCAATTTGTAAACACAAATAATTGTGATTCAAGAGTTCCACTAAGATTGACTAAAGTCTAATAGAAAGTCTCACTCAGGACAAAATGGAGGGGCCGCTGGCCAAGCCATTCAAGTGGTTCCAACAATGGGAAAAGGAAGCAGAATACTGAAACGTCTTATTCTTACACAACCAAAATGTCAGAAAGTTCTGCTAGCTATTTCAACTGGCAAGTAGTAATATTCTAGTGCTGAGTCTTTGGAATGTCAAGGTCTTTGAATATTGGACTGTCAACTCCCACACCCATTGCGTGGAGCCCATTGTCGACGTATATGACAGCACCGGTTATAGCTGAAGCCAAAGGTGATGCCAAGAAAGCAGCTGTGTTTCCCACTTCCTCTGTTTCAATGGTTATTATGATTTCAGTAAGTGTTTCATAGAACAAACTAATGATAATTATTATTTAAAAAAAAAGAAAAAAGAATAAGCTGGTATGGATACGCTAAGATGAAGCCCTAGTTGTGAGAAGAGTTTGGAGAAACACCTGCAGATAGTTCCTTTTGTAGAGGTGCGTTTTCTAATGAATAGTCGATCATCATATCGATGAAGCCAATTGCTTTTGCAGCGCGGCTTCGCAATGGCCCTGGGGATTACACCAAAAGCATCATCAGGAGCAAGTTTGTACTTTGATCCATCAATGTCAAAATCGGAGATCAAGATCATCCACATCATATAAAATTATACATAGAAGGAAGTAATGGACTTATTATTTATTATTGTGTTTAAATTTCTAACAGCTAAAAGACTGAAATTAATCACTAGACAGAAGACTACAATGTTTTCTGTTTAACACCTCTAGCATAATTTTCACCCAAAAAAAAAAAGGAAAAGAAAATCCCTGGTCGAACCTTGAATCCCAGCTAGATCATCTTTCTCTCATCTGGGCATTACAAAAACAAATTTTCCCCAACCAAAAATAAAAACGACAAATAGGTTCTGGATAAAATAGGTTACTTATACAGCTTATTTACACATGCATATTTGGTCACATCAACGAGCTTTGGCATCATATTTCACACTCACTAGTGTGGAGCAGGACAGACATTTTCTTTTTAAGAACTCCAAAGAAAGGAAATACAAAACGTGAATCGGTAAAAGAGGCTGAGAAAACGTACCAGCAGATATTGTATTGACTCTAACTCTGTGTTTTCTACCCGCTTCAAAAGCAAGCACCTGAATGGATCACATCGAAACGATAACAAGATTAAAGAAAGGTTTTGAAATAAATGATAAAACCAAAAATGGATGAAAATTATTGGTAAAAAATGCATACGCAAAAATATTAGGGCACCCACCTGTGTGTCGCTCTCAAGAGCAGCTTTTGCAGAGCTCATACCTCCACCATATCTGAGGATGAAATATCCAATTTTTTATATTGCACGATAAGTTATAATACGAAAATACTAATTACAAACTTCACGTGGATGGAAAAGATACCCAGGAATGATCCTTTCTGAAGCAATATAGGTCAGAGAAATTGAAGAGCCACCTGAACAAAAAATACACATTTATTTACGTAACTTATCAATGGAGATTCAAATCCAAGCACATGAAGAATAGAAAGCACTACTTGGATAAACAAACGGAGAAACATACCTGGATTAGTTATTGGGAGGAAATGCTTGAGTAAAGAAATATAGGAGTAGCTTGATGCCGATAAAGCAGCAAGGTATCCTTTTCTGGATGTCTCCAGTAGAGGTTTAGTTACCTGTTAAAAAGGTGCTTGTTTAGTCCCAAGAAATTGTGCAAAAAATTTTGCACATTCAGAAAAATTCATACTTCTGGTCCATTGGCAAGTGAGTGCACTAGGATATCAATGCTGCCAAAATCTTTCTTCACACTTTCAGCAACTTCCTGCAAGAACAAGCAGAAAATATGTTCTTTTTCTAATACATAAAAGTATACTGTCTGAACTAAGAGCTTATATTTTTCTCAAACTCCCATGTAGTAAAAGCTTCTCTATAAGCAGGTATGCTCAAGACCAAACCTGAACTGTCCAATTACTGGATCCTGCGTAACGCTTGTTCGTTTTTATCTGCAAGGACAACGTCAAAACGTGAGCATATATTTCATAATTTGCATACTGTTCCAAGCAAACTGCGTATATCTACTTACGTCTTCAGGTACATCCTCAAGGTTGTCAAAAACTGCATCTAAGGGATATACTTTGGTTATCTCCATTAGAGAACCATCTGGCAACCTGAAACGCGATATAACACGGTGGCATAATCTATCCATAAATATTACACAGTAATACATACCAAACAACTGGTTTAACATCTTACACACGCGACTCATCAAACTTTCCCCTCCGTAGACTGGATTCGAAAATGTTCAAAGCCTACACAAGAAAATTTCTAGTCAATAGGTACACCATTTCCCACGGATCTAAGAAGAGGACAACAAATATTAATCATGTCAATTTACTTACAGGAACCCATGTGCCCACAAGAATTTCGGCACCAGCAGCAGCAAGAGCTTTTGCGATTGCCCAACCATATCCATTATCATCAGCTACACCGGCAATGAATGCTCTCTTACCTACACACACACACCCCTAGTTTTGGTAAATAGTATGTTTGAGACAAGAAATTGCAAAAAATAAACATGGAATGAAAACCTAACCTTTCAGATTAATTGGCAACCCTGAGCCCTTGCTTTCGCTAGGTTCTGACATTGCCTTTACAGCGAATTTATCGAATTTGGCAGAAGATGATGTAAAGCTGCGCCCAAAAAGTTGTGCAGAGGATGATATATGGCAGGCGCTAGAAAGCTTTGCCAATGATGCTCCTTTACAATTGTTTTGAACTATTGTGGGAGCTGATCTAAAAGCTCTACGAGAAGATGAAATACAGGGTCTCGCAGTTGCCATTTGCAGGCTAGAAGCTGCCATCGTTGCCATGCTAAGAAAGCAAAATCTCGTTGAAGACCGAGATCTACACGAAAAATACAGAAGTGAAAATCACAATCCATAAATATATTACAAGATTGAATAAAGTCCTTGAAGCAGAAGTATAAAAACATTTTGAAGAAAGAATAAGTCGAATAACTATCATGTAATCACTTGGAAACAGAGACGAAAAATTCAATGACCCAGTTACACAGAACAATGTCATCCATAATGATCAGAAATACATTATAAACGTTTCAAGCATCGATTCAACCATACAAAAAGCACCATTTTGTTTGATCCCGTTTCCAAAATCACTTCTTCAACAACTCGCTAGTTTCTTTGAATTCTCAACTTCCGCATTGCCAAATCATTCCAAAATAAACAATGAGAAACTTAATAATCCGCTACATCAAGCCAAATACAGAGGCAAAGCACGAACAAACCATAACGAAAAAAATCTTTAAAACAAACGAAACCCAGCAATTCATTCATAAAATTGACCATTGAAACTGAACCAATCCAAGTTCGATTAATCTAACAATGGAAAACGAGCAAGGAAAACAAAGCGTATAATTTTGCTTAAACCCCAGCACACATTATAAGACACAGCAGACAGAAAGCTAAAACCCTTTAAGCAACAAATACGACGCAAATCTTAGAGAACAGAGAAAAAGTCACGAAAGAAACATAAAATTTTCTCACATTTCTGCTGCAAGAAGCGCCAATGCGGAGGAAAGAAACCGTCAAGTTCAGAGGAGAGAGAGAGAGAGAGAGAGTATTTTCTGGGGAGGGTGAGATTTTCTGGTTGTTATTATCAGCAAATTTGTTTGGGGGGAGAAGATGGTGGCGGTAAGAACAAAGATATCCGACTTTGGGAGAACGGGAAATTAGAGGCGCTTCGAAATTGTCGAAAGCTCAGATCAGAAAGAGCTTCCCTTGTAATTAATAACTCTTTTCTTTTTTCTTTTTCTTTTTGTCAACAAGAGTAACTATTCTCGGCATTTTTTATTTTTTATTTTTGGGTTGAATGAGAACAATGGCAATTATTCTAATTTCCCCGTTTCTTATATTTTTAATTTTTAAATTTTTCATGAAATTCTATGTTTAGTTTTTGGATTATAACGCCTGTAAATGTATTGCAGTTGTGGTGTTAAGTTGGTACTTGGTAAGAGAGTAGGTGGGTAGGGTAGCCTACTTCAGACTAGAGACGAAACTTTGGGCTGGGCTAAATGAGCCGGCCTGGGGCCGTTATTATTGGCCCGGTGCAGGTCTCAACTTCAGGTCGGGCTGTTTTAGCCTGAACACTTTTTAAAATAATTTTTTTCTTTAAAAAATAAATACTTAATAAATAGAGAATTTATCTTTAAGAGTGTATAAATTTAGATATTTATTATTTATTCTTAATAAATATTCTTTTATTAGTATAAATATGTGACTAAAAATATTATAAATCAAGAGTAAAGATAAAAATCTTAACCTATATATTTTTTAAAAATATTTGTCAAGATTACTTAAAATACTTTATAAATTTGCGGGAAATAGTAGAAAACAAGCCAATATGAAAAGCTTAAGAAAGTATATAGGTCAATTTTTAGTTATAGAAATTAATAGGGCATAACTTGTCAAGTTATGGTTCATAACTAGATAAGTTATGGACAAACTTGTCAAGTTATGGTCCATAGCTAGACAAGTTATGAACAATTATGGACAATAACTTGTCAAGTTATAGTTCATAACTAGACAAGTTATAGACGAAAACAATAATTTGGCTTATTTATTAACTTATGTAAACTATTGACCTATTAATTTTAATTCACCTCAAGTCTTGATCTATTTCCTTCTTTCTCTCTAAATTTGCCTAATTCTAAGCCCGTCAGGTTTTAGAGCCGGATTGGACTGATCTTTCTCCCTTTCTCATATAACCTCGTCATCCACATATTTTAGTGACCCACTTAATGAGACTCAGATGTACTATATCAGGTGAACCCACCACATACGGGTGATTGGGTTATAATCCCATAAGAAACGGGATTACTCTTTCAAACTGAGGGAAGAGTGATCTTAGCAACGTGATTGTGGAGTAGAAATAAAAATAATTCCAAAGATAAAACATAACGACGGAGTTAACAATGTTGATAATGATTGAAGAAAAGAATAGCTTAAACTCAAATAAACAGAGAAAATAGAATACAAGCATAAAAAATAAATAATACCCCCTACTATTTCTCACATTTATATTAATTCAAATTTCTTTTTGCTCAAGTGAAAAATAGACCTTTCAGAGGGGAGGATAAAAAAAAGTGACAAATAAACCTCGTCTTAGACTCTTCTTATATTGCTAGTAGTAGTCCTCAAGTTGGTCAACACGTTAAATATCAAGGCAAAAGCAGCAGATTACGAAATCACTGTCAAGACAACAAAACAATAAACAAATAAACTTAACTCCATTAGTAACTCGTGCAGATGTTTAATTTAACCTAATCATTAAAAAAACCAAAAAAATAAAACGCCGTTGTTTCGAAACAGGAATGGACAAACGAAGAGAAAATAAGCCGAATTAATAATAATGCACGAATATCAAACCCTATTATCAAACCCAAAATGCTGCAATATGGATAAAGAAAAAGTCAAAGAACAGAAAGCTACTTGCTATTACAAGATTTTGTCCTAAAAAGAGATTGGCACCAAGGCAAGTGAAAAAGGCTATATCGCTGACTTGCGCAATTCTTCAGTTCCATGAGCAAAGTGGCACCTATCCCCAAAGGTGCATGAACCTTTAGCAAAGTTCTCGCAGAGTTTAGTCTTGAAATTGTTAGCCGCACCCGAGTGTCCCATACCGTGATGGCCCTTCATTGGATTTCCGGCAGCCGAGCCGACATTTAAGATAAGCTCTTGAACCATAGCAGTGGCTTGTTTGATCTGATCAAACGTACCCTCAAGCTCAATGTTCCTTAGGTTAGGATCTGACTCGTGATCTCTTATAGAAAGTTTCGCTCCTGTCACGCGGCATATTTGCTTGGAGTTCACACCATTTTTCCCAATAATGGCTCCGGCAAGTGAAGCAGCGACGCTGATTTTAGCTGTGGACGATAACCCAAAACTGGCTGCAGGTCCGTGTGCCGGAGGAGGAGGCTCCATCCTACCACCAATCCTGCCCGGCACTGGTCCCATACCACGTTGATGATCATCATAGGATGGAGCTGTTGGCTTGCCAAGCTCCCACTCACCATGAGCAAAATGGCATTTATCACCAAACTTGCAGCCTTCAGCTGTGTTGTACTTGTTGCACAAGCGAGTCTTGACAGCTGGAGGAGAAGAACCATCTGGAAACGATGGTGGTGGGGCAGCAGAATTTCTAGCAGCTGGAGGGAGGGCCTGGTTACCACCAATGTGGATCATCTGAGACACTGCTTTGAATCCGCCAGGAACATAATGCAAGAAGTGGCATCCTTCACCAAAAGGACACCCAGAAGTACTGCAAACAAAGAAGGATGAAAAATAATGAGCACATGGCAACTATAATGTCTATTTATAGAAAGTAAATGCCATATCTGAAGTGGCAGAAAAGAAAAAAAAAATTTTAGCCCCATTTGCTAAACAGAAGAATTAAAAAAACTCAAAAAATAGCTGTCTCCGAGCATAAATGGTAAAAATTGATTCAAAAGGCATAAGAAAATTGAAATAGCTTAGAGTCATTCCCAAAGTTCCAAGTAGACTTCAAAACATGACACAGGTCGCAACGAGTGTCGTCAATGACAAAAGGCATAAAACCTTGTTTTCTTCCGAGATAACATTGAATAAATACATATTCTTAACCAAATATATTGAGGAAAAAATATTTTCAGCCAATAAAAGAAACAGTGAAGAATTTTTTTGTGTTCCTTCAGTTTACTGCATTGCAGATAGAGCCCAGATGATGTAAAACAATGCGGCACGTCATCATTATTCATTCTTCTGTTTTTTTCTCTCCCCTCTTTTCTCTTTACCTTTTGTTCCATTATTGACAGATAAAACAACCGTTACCACAACTTAGCTGCAAAATCAGTAGGCCCATCACACTGCTTTTACTTGGAAAGATTGTATTAGAGACTACGTGTGACCATTTATATGAAGGAAAAGTTCAGCATTCCATACAACTGCTTTAAATTTATAGTGCATCCAGTAGTTAATGAACTACATCTTGTGATTCAACCGTATCTGTTCATAGTCTTTCTTATCATGATTAGAACAGAGAGTACAACCTGTATCACAGCTTTAAATGCTCATTCCATTAGTCCATATCACAATATTTTACTTGCAAAATTGTGTAAAAATTTTTACTAAATTTCGATGAATTATCAGAAGGAAAAATCGCATTAGACTTTATTTTAGATAGGTTAAGATTTGAACCTGAAAAACTTTGTGCATGGCTTCGATTTGCTTCCTATACCAGTTGATAAGGACTCCAATTCTGTTGAGAACATTAATTATTTGTCTTGGTTAAAATTACATTGGATTGTTCATCTTCAAACGTTAATAAAATCTAACACCATATTATTACCATAGCATTAGTACACATAAGATTAAGAAAAATTCTCCAGCCTATTAAAAATTTCAAATAGGAGTTGTATAAGTAGTAGAGTATCTCAATTAATATATAAGCTCTGAAGCATATGGGGTGTTTTTCCTCTAGTTTGCTTACTGGGTTCATCAAAGTAAAATGTCACACCGAATCTAAGGTCTTCATTCTTTCACTAACAGTCTAAACCCAGATGCTCAACCAAAAAAATCCTAAAGAGTGAATTTCTTAAGCACAATATGAATTTTCTGATTTCACACAAGTCTTTCGTATATTTTTGCCTTTTATATCTATCTTGTCTTTTAAAAAGAAATTAACAGTGTTCATACGAAATCTGCTTCGAATCAAACTGCGACACCACAAGTGCTTACAAAGATTTCCAAACAAGTATGTCCAGAAAGACGTATTCCCAGGTCGTGTACAAATAAAATAAATTCTTTAACAACAGCACAAACTTACTTCCTTTCATCAAATTAAACCTTTCCGAGACCAAATATCATGAAAAAAAAAAATGAATAATAAAAAATGCAACAAAGCTACAGAAAACAAAATAAGCTCCATGTAAACAATTTCAATTGTTTATTGAAAACAGCTGCGGAAAAAAAAACACAAACATGCAAATATGAGCCACACTCCAAAAATGCAACAATAAAGGCTTCAATGCTAAAGGATTGTAAGAATACTAGGAATCAAAAGATGAAAGAAATCAGATTAAATTTACTCCGAAACCAAGAATTTTGATTACTCCACTTAAGATCTATAACCCCAGATGTAAAAAGATAATACTAATGATACACCTTTTCATTTTTTGAATTTCAAGAACAGCCAAATTCCAAAATCCTTCTTGCTTCGCCCCCAAGAACAAAAAACTCGAGTTACTAAAATCTAACTTCCATTTCTCCTTAATAGCTTTCGTCCTCACTCAAATCAAGTAAAAATAAATGCCAGAAAACACGCAGAAAAAAGTAAATAGAGCGAGAAAACCCTAGCCCTAACTGCATAAACGAGATAGCGATATCGGTTCGCGCAGATCCAAAAACAAACGCAAAATCATACATGTGCAGGTACGAAGTTAAGAGAAACCACGAAAAACGAACCTGGCCTGGATTTCTTGAAGCTTCCATTGCCGTTCAAGGAAGCATCGTGCCTCCCTCTCTTACGGCCACCTCCAAACTCCATCTTATCGCAGCTCCTCAGAGCAACGCAGAGATCCAAGAAGAAACGGAAAAGAAAAGCCGAGAAAACACGGGAAAATGCGAGAAACTGAAGCAGGGAAGGATTCCTGGAACGTAGGTAGAGAGAGAAAGAGAGGAAAGAAAAGGGGGGGAGAGAGAGAGAGAGGGAGGTTGGCTAGGGTTCGTAAACAACAGTGAAGGGGAAAAGAGAAAGGGCGGAACTGAAAAGAGATTTAAATGTGGTTGAATACGAAATCTAAGAACTCGTGCAGGTGAGGTGGTGGTAGTGGCGTTCACGTGCTGCCCGTGTGACGCTAGCATTTATATGTTATGATCGGATCACAATGTGTAAAGAATCCACCAGAAGAACCCGATTCCGATTCCTGTGCGGCTCTCATTCATTGGGTGACAGGTGACTCCGTAACCGTAACTTCTTCTGACGGGTGTGATGGGAAATTGAATGGGCTATTTATGCTAACATCTTGATATAATGGGCCTTTCATTCCATTACTAAACAAACGGCCCTTGCATATCCTTTAAGCCCATATCATTAAAACCGAGAATATTCGTCACGATACAATTCAAAAAATACACGAATTTTACAGGTTAAGGATGAAAAAAAATGTTTAGATCAAAATTAAGTCGATTTAAAATTGACACAAAAAATATCAGTTAATTTTAATTAGACCCGTTTAACTCAAACACGACACTCATAAAAAGTAAAGAAATATATTTTTCATTACATATTTTAGATTTTTTTATGCATGTGTGATATTATGATAGTTATACTCAAAATCTAATACTACTATTTGTTTAATTTTGAGGGATGCTATTATATTTTAGCGTAATATGAATTTTAAGTTATTTCTAATATGTAAAAAAATTAAATAAAAGTGTATCATTTTCGTGTCAATTTTTGATTTACGGGTCAATTTCGTGTCACGAGTCATTTTCGTATCGTGTCAACTAATAAAGTGGTTGTGTCGTGTTCATGTTTCAGTTTTTAAAAAATTACGTGTCACATGTCGTGTTTGGGTTGACTGTAAATTTAAGAAGCAATGACCAAAACACGACACGTGACACGAATTGCCACCCCTACGTATCATGATACAAATAAAGCCCAGAGTCTTACTTACATATATCTGAAGACCCTCAATCCCACTTTATTTTATGACTTAAAAAAAGGAGACAAACACCCTTTAAAGTATGTGGGTCTGAATTTTTACCTCTCATTCTTAATTAATATCTTTTTTAGTTAAATAATTATATTAATCAAGAGTAATGGGTAAAAATTCATACTCATACACTCAAGGGTAAGTTCATCAAATTTTTCCTTTTAAAACGTCCAACAATTGGACTCTGAGGTTTTATTCTATTTCAGTTTCGATTCTTCCGTTAGTTCTGTATTAAATATTTGACTAAATGTGTGGAAATTAAGGATTAAAATTGAAAACATATAAAGTTTAAGGATTAAAACAATACAAAAAGCAACATATAGTCTTTAAGTTTTAGCTATTTCTAATGGTCCTTAATTTACAAATATTCTATTAAATATTTAACACTTAATTAAAGAAATGACTATTACTCAAACAAAGTAAAACTCAGGAAACGAACTGTGAGACGTTTTAAAAGTCAGAAACTAAAGTGAAATTGATCCATATATAGCAGGAAGAGAAAGATGGGAATCTCTCCCATTAATTCATTTTAGTAATTTTGTGTTATTCTCTTAAAGTCATGTCTTTTTAAAGTTGATATGTGATAGGGGAAAACAAGAACAGAAAATTTAAATTTCCTTTTAACAAAAAAAGAAACATAAATTCCTCTTAAGAGGACATATATTTTATACTCCTTCAGTGAAAGGTCATTTCTCAAATAATGTCGATAATCTACTGTCACAAGCCACTTTTTTTTTTTTTTTAAATAAAAGGAAAATTTTATTTTGATACTATATGTTTTTGAAAATTTCATATCAGTATCCTGACCTTTTAGAAAAAAAATTTTGGTATCTCGGAGCCATTTTTTGGAACACGAAAAGACAAAATTACTTTTATTATAAAAATTAATCTGTTGACCGGAATTTTGAAGAAAAAAGGATTTTGAAAAGATAAATTTTTAAAAAAGGATTATACCTTACAAGTATAACAATTTTTAAAATCTTTTTTTTTCAAAATTTATCAACAGATGAATTTTTACAATAAAGATAATTTTGTCTTTTCGTGTCCTAAGAAATGGCTTCGATGTATCAAAAAAAGATTTTTTAAAAGGTCGAGGTACTAGCATAAAATTTTTAAAAACAGATGGTACCAAACTAAAATTTCGATATAACAGAAACTATCAAAATTTTTAATATATGTATTGCGATGAAGTAGAGAGCTTAATTATTATATAATTAGACTATCACTAGCTGAGACATTCTTATCACCAAATAGAAACATTATCACTGCAAATTCAATTTCAATTTCGGGGACAAAAAGAAAACATATTATTGCTTTTCAACTCTTTCTCCCTCACATATTTTTTTTATGCCAAATTATTTATAAATATTATATGTACTGCGGTATTTATCAAATTTCAAATACTAGGTGTAGACTGATATCACAATAAATTTGTCAAATATAATTGGCGGATAAAATCTTTTTTTGAGTACAATGACAATTCACAACTGAAAACTAAATTTTTTTTTTCCCTGAAACTTCATAGACAATGCGATACTATAGTTTTATTAACTTATTATTTTATGAATTTGGAAGACACTTTCTTTTTTTTTTAGATAATTGGCGCGTGACCGTCTCATTTTAAAGGGTTGTTGCTGCTGAAGTAGATCAAACGACAACGGGAACATTGTCGTTGGATGAAGTCCATCGCGGGCCTGCTCGGTTCGCTAATTCGAGTTTTTAATTCGAGTTGAGATGTAATGTTGTGTGAGAATTTTTTACTGTAGTAAAAAAGTTAGATGTGACTGTTTCTGAGAGCTTTTTATTGTAGCAAAATTTGAATTCTAAACTCGAATCAGCGAAAAGAACGGAGTCTAAAAGAACTCAAAAGTTCACAAATGGTGAAGAAGTCAATGAAAAATTATTGTGGCAGGCAGAAGTTTCCGCAATAAAAATGTCTTCTTCAATATGAAAAATAGAGTACATATGAATGTCGCAAGCTCAAATGTCGACCACCAATTAAGCGGAGTCCATATAAATATTGCTAACTGTACCGAACCTCACGAATATAAGATTAGGTAGTTGATATTTGAAAGCGACATTACAATACTATGTTAGTTGGTCAAGTATTAACTTTTTCTTTCGTTACCGCTTAGATTACTTCACTATACTTTTTTAAGAGTGTGTTTGGTTTATAAATTTAAACATAAAATTATAATAAACTTTAAATTTTATGAGAGAAAACACTACCGTAATAAAAAAGAAATTTTGAATTTTTATTCAAACCCAAATAATATGTGTCTTTCGGGTTGTTCTTTTGTAACGAAACTCAGAAAAAATTCGAACTCGTGTTACAACTTTATTCAAGTTCATGTTCTTTTGTAAAATTTGAGTTTGAACTCGAATTTAGGGCTAAACTCGAGTTCAAGTTTCCCCTTCAACTCAAGTTCATAAACTCGAACTCAAGTTAATGAATATTATTTTTTCTATTCTTAAAAATGCTATAACTTTTTCGTTTTAATTCTGATTGAGATGATTTTTTTTCTATGAATTCACAACGAAAAGACGAATAAAACCCCACATATATACCATATTAAAATTTTTCATCACCATTGAGTTTTTATTAAAATACTATCTAAATATAAATTTAAGTTTTGACATACCCAAACACAAACTCAAATAGATTCTCAATTCAAATCATAACTCAAATGTACACATCCAAACACAAACTCAAGTTACAACTTCAACTCAAGTTATAACTCAAGCTAACTCAAGATCATCACTCAAGTCACTCTAACTCAAAAATGCAAAAAAATAACCCCTTTGTCTTTCTCCTTTACTGACAAATGGAGAACCTTTTTTTTTTAACAAAAAGAAAATTATTAGTGCGATCCTACCCCATCTCTATTTATTTATTTTTATGTTTTTAAATATGAGTTTGAACCAAAAGGATTTAACCTAAATATACTTAAAAATAAAATGGATCACGTTTTACTTACGGGTAATCTTAACAAATATCCCTTAAAAGTGCATGGGTCTGGATTTTTACCTTTTACTCTTGATTCATAACCTTTTAGTTAAATAATTACACTAACAAAAATGTATTTATCAAAAATAAGAGAAAGGTACATACTCATGCACTCGAAAGTAAATTCTCTATTTTTTCTTATACTTTTACTCTCACACTACCATGAATCCAACGTTGTTCAAGACCTCTCGTTAGGACTAACATATATCGAATATGATGTGAAATCACCAAATTCAAAGGTATGCAACATACCACAGCCACTTTTTTTTTTTTTTTGGGCATATTTTAGGAATGCTTGATTTAGAGAGGACAGGATATTTGAGGTATATTTAAAGAAGGTCAATATTAGTAGAAAGTCCCACGCCCACTCTTTATCATTGTGTCTGCGACAGTATATGCCCACGTTAAAGGTATGCTGCTAGGCGAAAGCACATATCTTTTTACGTTCCTTTTCATATTTATTAATAATACATCACATGATCACTCATTGCCTTAAAACAAACTTACAAGGTCACACCGTAATTTAAACTAACTAGTGCTTTGAAACATAATCGTACTATAAGTACAAATAAAAAAGACTTAAATGATGCGCACAATGAACAACTTTATTCAACGACCAGAAAAACCTTATTTTTAACAAGCTAGCATATAAAACATAAGAAACCAATCATACCTTAACAATTTCTGCAATCCCCACAGGAGGTCATGGTTCCTTTAAGGCTAGCTTTTGTGCAAAAAAAGGCTACTTAATGAGTGAAATGTCTAAAGATTAAAGCAAAACAAATTAAGGTCTAGATTTAGAGACAATTTAAGCGATTAACTCTCAAACACTACGAGAGAGAATCGAGCTTTTAAATCACTCTTAATTTATTGAAGTTGTTCAACTATAGACTTTAATTAGTACTCTACTATAATACTTTCTAAACTTTACTTAAAACTTCATCTTCTTGTTCTATAACTGATTCTTCTTCCACGCTTTGAATCTCCTTGCCATTGTCATCGATGTTGATGCACTTGTACCACTTAGCACAAAAGACGTAAACCACAAAATCGAAAGCGGTGAGCGCGGCGATCAAGAAGTAGAATCTGTCCATGTGGCCGGCGTTAAGGTCGTCGGAAATCCAACCGGGTTGCTCACCTTTGGCCGTGATTCCCATCACCATGTTAACAAGCAAGCTACTCACATAATTCCCAAGCGAAATAGAAGCCATGCAAAGCGAGCTTCCAAAGCTCTTTATCCCATCCGGGGCTTGCCCATTGAAGAACTCCAATTGCCCAATGTACATGAAAACTTCGGAGGCACCAACTAGGACATATTGAGGAACTTGCCAAAATATGCTCAAAGAGCTTGTCTTCTCCTCTGGGATGACACGTTTGAGCCTCTCAACCTCCGTGATGCCCGCCGCGAGCATCGCCAACATTCCAATGATGAGGCCAATTCCCATTCTATGAAGCTCGGTTAGGCCTTTAGGGTTTCCGCTTAGTCTTCCGGCTATGGGAACGAGGATTTGGCGATAGATTCCGGTGCAGATGAGGACGCTGAAGATGTCAAAGGCAGACATGCTAGCAGCCGGTAGGCGAAAGTTTCCAACGTGGGAGTCCATAAGGTCACCTTGCTCCACAAATAAAGAAGCCATTTGAGTGAAGACCACCGAGTAAATTATGGTGCAAAGCCAGATTGGAAACATTTTTAGTACACATTTTGCTTCCTCCACTTGGGTTACGGTGCAAATCCTCCACGGATTCATCGGACCGGCTAAATCCTTCTCCGTTAGAGTTGCTGCCTTGTCCAAAAACCTGATTAATTTTCCAGTAACATATATTAATTATGTATGGTATGGATATATAGTAGTGCAATACTATGCTAAATTTGGCACCCAATATAGTATATGTCTTGTTTGACATTAAGCATATATACATAGCATTATACTATTGAGATAAATATTTGGTCTTACATTACGAGACACATTTGGGTTTCTTTTCATGACTAAATTCCATTTTTAACAAAATATAAATAGCATACACATTTTTTTTCTAAAAGAAAACTAGCATCAATTGATAGATTGCTTACTTTCGATAATTTTTCTTAGTAAATTTGAAAGAATTATACCAATATGTATTGCTTATCGTCGTTACTTGCTACTAAAAAGAAAAAAAAAATAACAATTCTAATACTTCTTCTTTTTTTTTTTAATTTTACAAATCAAAATTACTAGTGGGAAAAAAAATGGATTAGGGAGAGAACTTACGAAAACCCATTGCTGTGCAGAATTTTCCTACTCCCTTTGATGGCGGATTCCGATCCTTCAACCTCATACAGTTCCTCCGGATTCGCCGCAACAATTTTCCATTTCTTAGAAGCAGCCGTGAAGACCTGAGCAACACGCGGAATAGGGTTGCCACTCGGTTCAACATGTCGGTATCCGGGCGAGCCAAACAAGAACGACACTAGGGCTACAACTGCCGAACCCAAAGACACCAAGAACCCTAAGGTCCATCTCCCCGTATTCTCATAGTACACCAAGACGGTGTTTGAGAAGAGCGAGCCAACATTCAAAGCGAAATAGAAGAAGCAGAAGAACGCCGTCTTTGAATCCTTCTCTTTCGGGTTTGATTCGTCGAATTGGTCCGATCCAAAGGTTGCCAAAGTGGGTTGGTGACCACCATATCCGAAGGCCACAAGGTATATCGACGTGTAAAAAATAGCTACGCCAAGTGTGGACGAGGGCATGCATTCTAGCTCCCCATCACCACACCCCTCCGGTTTGATCAAGAAAAACCAAGACGATATTGATAAGAGAGCACAACCCTAGTACGTCATAAATAGAGAGAGTGCAATTTTGTTTGGTTAATTTCCAAGATAAATATTTAGCCTCAGAAGAATTGTTTTTTAACTAATCACATATTTATTGGTGTAACAAATTTTGAATATTGATAAAAAAAAGGATAATAATAATACTATTATGAGTGGTCACATATAGTATGTACCACTAATGCGAAATAGTATTGCTTGGGGCTTAAGACGACGACCTACTTTTGAAAAGGAAAAAAAAAAAAAAATGGGATGGTAAAAAAATCGAAAATAATTACCAGCACGAGGATGCCTTGGAAGAGAGCACATGTTAAGTAACGGCCCCAGTAAGAATCACTGAGGAAAGCACCAATTAGAGAGCACAAGTAAACAGTTCCAGTCCACTTGCTCACACTGTTTGCAGCATCGGCAGTGTCTTGGTCAAGAACTCTGGTTAAGAACAAAACCAAGTTTACACCGACGCCAAAGAAACACAGTGTTGCTAAGGCTTGATTGGCTACAAAAGGAGAAGATAACCAAAAAAAAAAAGAAAGCTTTTTAATCAACAACAAAATTGAGAAAATAAATAATGTTTTGTTTTTCTAATTAATTATATTGTAATTTTACATACCCAGCAAGAGATTTGCATATCTCCACCCTCCTGTTCTCTTTCTAATAAGAGATGATCCGTTGTCATAATTCACAGAAGTTGTCACGGCATTTTGTTCATTTCCACTGTAGTTTCTAATTCTCAGAGCTCCCAATTCTCCAGAACTTGTATTTTCTTCCCCCGACTGTTAATTTGTTAAAGAAGAGAGATGTATATTAATTAATAATTACAACCCCATAATAAGTAAAGAAAAGACTTGAGCCAAATCAGGGCATTAAAATTTCATTTAGTACCCTTTAATCTGTGATCATAACAAAAATGGTTGATCAAGGCCACAAGGGAAAAGTAGTACAATAGATAGTACCGCTATAATTTGCCCGTTTGGATTATGCACACAAATAACAGAAAAAATGAATGAAGTGAAATGGCAGTCTTGCCCTCCATTCGAATCAATTTACTGTGAAGAGTGTCATTAATTTTACTTTGAGCCAAAAAAGAAAGAAAAATTTGGGACTGCTTAATTACTGGTGATTATGTTCATCAACTTCAAGTTTTATTACTTGTTAACTGTACTCTCTTTAAATTTTTTTTTATAAAAACAAATATGCTATTTAACTATAAAACTTTGGCGTACGTCCACATGTAGATCAGTTAAGAAAAAAATCCCAAAATAAAATACGTTTGCCAAATTTTTTTTTTTTAATTAAATCAGCCTTTCATATTATTTTGTTGCCTTGTAACGCACGCGTTACGTGAAGTGTGTTCTCATGGTCATATCTCTAGGAATATATATATATATATATATCTGAATATATAATGTAATTTGTATGATATTAATTAAGGCTTTATTGAATTTATTGATCATGTGCTTCACTAACCTTTAGTTGAGCCTTATCGGTGAAGTTACATGAATCCATAACAGCCACTGAAGGTTTCTGCAATAAAGTACAACAAGTTATTCATCTTTCACATGATCATGGCAAAAAAGTACGAGAAATAATATAACTGATTGAATATGGACGATGGGTTTCGTATTGTATCAATTCTAGGGTACAAATTCAAAGGAAAAAAGCAGCAAAATAGTATTGACCATATATGTATGTATGTCTTTTTGTGTGTCGTATTTTATTTTTTATTTTTTATTTTTGGTTATATGCCCCATTGCCACCAAACCAAACAATATTATTGAAACTCAGGAGAGTGCATATATTGTTAAGATATTTTGTTGCCTTCAAATCTATTACATAGTCCAAAGAGAAGTGCAAAATGAAAAAGTAGAAGTTTAGAAATTATGGTCTCGTTTATTTCACCGATTCGAGTTTTGCTACAGTAAAAAGCACTCAGAAATAATCACATCTAACTTTTTTGCTACAGTGAAAAAGCTTTCAAATAAAGTCACATCTCAACTCGAATTAAAAACTCGAATCAGTGAACTAAATAAGCCCTATATGTTTTACTGGAAAGACATGAGATCATAAGAACAAACAAGAGGAAATTATTTAACCGTAAAAGAGTACGAATTGAGAAAAAAAAAATCAACATACCACAACTACTTAAACTAATGGGGAAAGAAAATGGCATTAAGAAAAAAAAAAACAACTTGGAAGAGGAATAAGGAGGCAAGAAATCTTGAAGGAATTAAGAAGAGAACTAAGAAAGCTGTGTTGATATAGATTAATGGGTGTCAGAGTTCTTTATATAGACAAACAATTTGAGTGAAGTGGGGCGTGGAACAAGAAAGAGATGTCGTTTTCGAACTTACTTTATAATTGTATCAAACAAATACATTTGGAAACAGGAAAAAAAAAGAAGAAGAAGAAGAATTCGGGGAAAGGGGCAAAGCAAATGTGCTTAAAAGATCAATCTGTGCCACAAACTCGGTCATCCCTTGCATGAATACAAATCATTTTCCACGTCAAAATGACTAAGGAAAAAAAAAAAAAAAAAAAAAAACGTGATCGCTATCTCTGTTTCTCTAACCTATATTTTCGGATTTTTCAGTGACATATAATGATAATGCATCCTCAATTTCACTTTTGAATTTAAAATGTCAAGAAAAATAGAAACTTCCAAAATTTCATCACTAAGCATAAACAACAGTCGGATTCAACAGTTCTTCAATATATTGCTTATAAATTTGGAATTCATAATGAGATGTATCATTAAATAATAAATAATAAAATGTATTAACCGAGGAAAAATTTGAATCACTTTTGCTCGACCAAATTACCTTTTGCGGAATTTGGTGACGGAGAAAGTAACTTTTTCTGGAATATTAGGGGACTCCGGTGATGGAAGAGATCGAGTGGTAACGCTTATCAAAAGATGAAATTCAGACCGGAAAATCGCTCGACTCGCCAGGAAATTTGAGGAAGCCCTAAATTTTTTTGTCATTTATGGTTTCACAGAGCAATATTGGAGTTGATACTGTTGATCAATCTGAATCCAAAAACCAGTCTCCTAGAACAGGTTCAAATATCATGCTCAAAACATAAGCTCAAATACAAATGCCAATTATTGGTTACATTTTAGCCCTCTAAGCATATTTATAGAGTGAAAATTGGCCACCAAAAGTCAGATAGCCGGGGACCTTTTCTTAACTAACTCCTTATAAAGCTCCACGGCTTTCTCATCATCCATGTAAAACGATGGACGTTGAACTTGAATTTTTATTTTAAAAAAATTATATATATACATATACTCGTGACTATAACAAGATGACCGGATACATTATAAAAATTTAAAAGATTAAGGTATTTCTTTGTTAAGATCTATATTAATGGAGTGTACTCAAATATTGCCGCAAAGGAAAATTTTCAAACTATATAGAGTACTAAAAAAATTATATATAACCTTTTACTAAACAATAATATAGTTATTATTTCAATTGTGGAGTGTGAGAGCAATTAAAACTTTTCTTATTTAGGAATTGTATAACTGAAATTTTTTGAGAAAATTAAGAGAGAATCTAAATTTTAAAATCCGAGTGGGGGCAGCCAAGAGGTATCCCACTCATTAAAATTTAAAAATACCGTCCCTGAGATTTTTTTTTTCTTTTTAACAAAGAGAAATGCTAACGTCACTCTTTTTGTTACTTTTTTGACACTTTTTACATTCACTGTTTGACACGCGGATTCTATTAATATGATATATTATTATTTAAACAAAAAATAAGATAGTAAATTTCACTGTAAAATAATAAATATAAAAAGTGACAGAAAGGGTGACGTTAAATTACCTTGAGATTTCTAACATTACTCAATAACCTTGATTTAATAGATTTTTTTCGGGTAGTTTAGTCAAATAGTCGAATAGGCGAGTCATGAAGAATCAAAGAGACCAAACTATGTTAACTGTTTTTTTTTTTTTTTCCTTTCTTTCTACAGTGGAGAAAAAAAATATATATATATAATTAGTGTGCCGGTATGCATGTCTAATATTAACATTAATAATCTCCTTTCAGTTATATTTGATTTTGAAATTTCTCTAATATTAGATAAATATTAACACTGAAACCTTATTTTTGTGAACTTTAAAATATAGTTTTCGATCATAAAAAATAATAATATAGTTTTCGAACTTTAAGTAAATATTAAAATACAATTACATATGGTTTTCAAAAATAAAAATAAAATACAGTTACATATGAATTTTTGTTGGGCCAACACCGAATGTCTAGGAAAATCAAACAGCCATTTAAGTTTCAGATCGGGAGACCGCAAAAATAGGAATTCTTCCTATATATATCTTTAGTACTACATATATTCACCGAATTAAGCATAGAAATTAGATTGCCAAACTTTTCAACTGAAAACAAAATGTACTAAGTGTAAAATCAAAACGACAAACTCTCTCTCTCTCTCTCTCTCTCTCTCTCTCTTAAACACACTTTAATTATCTTTTTTTTTCTAAAGAATAGTATCTCACATAACAGAGACAAGACAAAATAACTTTTAATTGTAATTTGGAGCTAGATAATGCTAGCAACTTTCAATACGAAACTTTCAAAATATGACCTTTTAATATTTTAATTGTAACTTTAAGAATTTTTTTAAATTTATTATTAATTTTTTGGTTAATTAATAAGAATGATAACTTTGACATTTTACATTCCAAAAAATAACCTTAAGATACTGAAAAATAATTTTTTTAAATGTTAAGATACCAATTTAAAATTATTAAAAATACAGAATATCAAAAGACAATTACGCTATAACATAAGGTATCAATATGAAACTTTTTCAAAGAAAAAAAAAAAACAAGGGAGCATTTTCAAAATTTTCTCTACTCCCACTACGTACATTGGTGTATTGCACAAATGTATATGAGAAATTAGACCTAAAATAGAGTTCCAACTTTCCAAACTTGTCCCCCTCTTCCCCGGTCTAAACAAAACTAATATAGCGCTTTTTTTTTTTTCAGAAAATAAGAGCGAAATTTTTGCCTGTGAATCTGTGATATATATGTTTTGAATTATCTGCGCCAACTCATGCTTGAAAAGAATGGCAGAGTACCAACAAGCTATCAGTTTTTTATTTTTATTTTTTTTAATGAAGGACTATTTGAAACTTGAATCTTCTGTTCTTTTTAAATACTGCTCCAAAATTAGCACATATATACTAAATGCTTTCCTAGAATAACTAATTTTTTATTCAACAAAATCTGGATTAAAATACTTAATTCGCTGCTTTAGAGTCAAATTCAATTTTAAAATTACAATATGGTTTTGGAATCAATACCAAAAATATAATTCAACTACGCTCTAGTTATTGGTTTTGAATTCAACGGTAGGAACACAATGAGTAATACATAATTAAGCATAATGATCTCAACAAAATGGGTTAATTAGTTTTGTGATGAGATAAACTTTGCCTAAAATAAGTAAGGCCACTGAAAGTTTGTTCTAACTTTCTACTAGTACTTGAGAAAATTTTGTGCTCGGTTTTGATTTTTGTTTGGATTTAATTGAGTCCCTAAACTGAAATTAGTTTCAGTCTTATCAATTTTCCACCTTCCAAATGCAAAAGCTACCATTTTCATGCAACAAGAAAATTCTCTGATTGCCAGATCTCCCTCCTTCAATCTCTCCCAAAATATCGTATATCATGTCCCCATACTAGACAAATACGTATATATAATCTTCATCACTATTCAAATTATTAAGCTTAAAAATCTCATCCATTTCTCTCTTGATCTTTTCTCTTTAGCATTTTATGTTGTTGTATTTTTTCTTTCTTAATGTAATGGAAGATGAATATTCCTCAAGCATGATTTCGAGTGCCAAAACGATTATTAATGTTCCAGCCATGGAAACTTCGGATTCAACCAACACCAACATTTACGCAATTCATGCAAGGAACAATAAGCGCCCAAGACTCGAATATCATCATGAAATTGATACCAACAACATTATTGCCTCCTCTTCTGCCAAGTTCAAAGGGGTCGTGCCTCAACAAAACGGTCATTGGGGAGCGCAAATCTACGCGAACCACCAGAGAATTTGGCTCGGTACGTTCAAGTCAGAGAAGGCGGCGGCCATGGCCTATGATAGCGCAGCCATCAAACTCCGGAGCGGCGATTCACAGAGAAATTTTCCCTGGACTAGTCTGACTATCCAAGAGCCTGATTTCCAAAGCCGTCACACCATAAAGATGGTTCTTAATATGATCAAGGACAGCTCTTACCAATCGAAATTCGAAGAATTTGTAAGAACTCGATCTCAAAGTAAGGAAGTCTTTATTGACAAGGGAAATCATGATCAACATCTCAACAAAAAAATAAAGGGCCATGGAGATGCACAATTCTTGACGAGGCAACTATTTCAAAAGGAGTTGACGCCAAGTGATGTTGGTAAGCTTAATAGACTTGTTATCCCTAAAAAATTTGCGGTCAAGTATTTTCCTTACATTAATGAAGATATTAATCATGTGGAGGGAAATGGAGCAGTAGAAGATATTGAGCTAGTTTTCTATGACAAGAATATGAGGCCTTGGAGATTTCGGTATTGTTATTGGAAAAGCAGCCAAAGTTTTGTCTTCACAAGGGGCTGGAATCGGTTTGTGAAGGAAAACAGCTTGAAGGCCAATGATGTCATCACGTTTTATGCATGTGAACACTACTGCCGTGGTACTGGAATATTAAGGGAGGTAAATGGCCAAAGTTTTTGCTTAATTGATGTAACGCATAATGGGGTTAATGTTGAAAGCAAGAAGTGTTTGAGTAACGATAAGGAAGAGGCCAATAATTATTATCATTGTGAAAAGCATATCATGAAGGTGGCATGGAAGCAAAATTTTTATCAAGGCAGTGATCAGTTTAAATACAATGAAGAAGATGTGTCTAACAATTTGGAGGAGAAAGGAATTAGGCTATTTGGTGTACACATCAAGTGACTAGCGAGATTCAGTTGCAGGCATGGTTTATCGGTAATTCTCACACCTGAATTTCTCCACATCAAAGTTCAAAAAAAAAGGTGATAAGGAAAATTGTTCAAGTGCGAAAGTTCCTCTTTTTTTTTTTTTTTTTTTTTTTTTTTTTTTTTTTTTTTTTAATTTATAGTATGTTAAGGCTGTAACTAGTGGAGGGCCTTATTAGGAATTACACAACAGGGTCTCAATCCTTGATAAGAAAAGGAATTCTTCTTTTCTTTTCCTTTTTTTTATTTTCTTTTTAGAGGGATTTAAGCGATTATTGCTATCATGTACACTAGGAACTATCCTCCAATTCCAATTACTACACTGTCTAATAGAGAAGGATATATTTTCCTTTTCTTTGCCTGCACGTGTACTAAACAATTTGAGAATTCTCTAGTCAATATATTTCTGAAATAAATATATTTCTGAAATTAGTGTTTTCTTTTTACCCCGCATTATATCAAGAAAAAATAAAAATAAATAAATTCCCTCGGATACTTAACATCATGTCGCATCATGTTACAATATCATTGGATATGTGGCGAATATGCTTATGAAGAAAATATACAGTAAAGATGAATATAACTGCAACTTGTTTTCAGACCAAATCGAAAATATATAAGACAAACAAGAAATGATAAGGACAGGGCCATATTACAGTATTCCTCAATGACTTATCAAATCAGACATTGGGAAAGTAGTTTTTTCCTTTCTTTTTTTTTTTTTTTTTTTTTTTTTTTTTTTTTGAGCTGTAGATAGGGATAAGTTGTCTCCCACTTAAACATTTGACTCCATTTTGTATACTCTCATAATTCTAAACTAGTTCTTGGTTTCCATCTTCTGATGGCATTTCATTATATGCAAGCAATTATATTCAGTTTTACCTCATTATAATTAAATGAATTGTTTGTGCATTAAAACGAGAGGTTTTTAGAATTCGGGCCAAAAAAAGATGACGATCATGATATGTATGCGGATTTTTATTCTTTTCTCTCCACCACAATTCAGATATGACTAAACTTATTATAATGGCCTCTACCATTTGCCACGATAGCATAATAGATAAAGGCTTCGTTCAGCTCATTAATTTTAGTATTTAATTCAAGTTAAAATGTAATTTTATATGAGAATTTTTAACTGTAGCAGAAAATGATAAAAGTAATTTTTTATGAAAATTTTTAACTGTAGTATAATTAAAATTAAAAATTTAAATCAGTGAAACGAAATAAACAAAACAGGATTAAAATGCAAAATTAAAATGGAAATGAAAAGATATATTTGAGATCGCCTGCATATATAAGTAGTCCATCAAATCTAGGTCAAATATGTACGTGCAACAGAATCTCCATTTTTTTTTTTTTTTGATAGAATGTAGTCTGCAAATAGTTGGGGACCCACCAACTTCTGTTTGTTGTCAAGTTAGGTTTTGGCCATTGTATGTGGTATGTATAGAAAAATAGCTGGACACCACATTTAATGTAGGGCAATTTTATTGTTTTTGTTATTTTTTGCTTGTAACGACAAATCTTTCTTTTCCCTTACTTTGTTTGCATCTTCATTTTCACTATATATCCTTTTTTTTTTTAAGGCTCGTGACTAGATATTCTTTTACTTGTTTATTAAAAATATTTTTTTAATGAAAATTTTATTAATCAATATATTTGTGAGGAGACATTAGACATACGATTACCATTACCAATGGTGTTCTTATGAGAGGGAAAGCCCATGCACCTCGACGTTAAGAGGTCCTTCTTTTCCCATAAATTGGAAAAAAAAAAATGAATGGGAATTTTAGACCTATATAGCAAAAGGAAAAAAGAAACAAAAACCTCTTAAAATACATGGGTCTTATCGCTTACACTTAATTAATACCCTCTAGTTAAATAATTATATTAGTTAAAAAAATTATCAAGAGTAAATGGTAAAAATCTTAAAACAATACATTCAAAGTGTGATTTCGTCAATTTGATCAAGATGGTAGTTTGTACAAAAACTATTTTTTGAATTATTGAATCTATCTATATTGAAGGTGGACCCTTTTGGCATAAACAAGGCTCTTATAAAGTTCATTAATGGCTCGTTTAGTTCGTTGATTCGAGTTAATATGTGACTTTATGTGAATGTTTTTTACTGTAGCAAAAAATTTAGATGTGACTATTTTTTAGAGTTTTTTACTGTAACAAAACTCGAATCGGTAAAATGAACGAGACTTAAATGTTGAACTTTTCCTGAAAAATCACTATAATATCGTAATCTTCAGAATTATTGAAATATTATCATGTCCATGTTTTATTTATTTCACTTTCGAGTCACTCATGAAGAAATTAGCTGAAGAGAGAGAGAATTAATCCTGTAGCAATTACACGTCAATTATCACTATGCAAGCTTGCAAATTTTTTTATTTCATATGATTTAAATTCAGACCACAAAAACGGAGAACATGTTTGGCTCGTGCATGCAAATACAGAACGAGGCATCATATCTCCTTTATTACTTTTCTGTTTTCTGAACAAAAGGAGTGGATACCAAAAGGATATCACAGCTGAGGTCCTGATCTTCAACTTGGTGTCTTTGTTTTTTTTTTTTTTTTTTTTTTTTCCGACTTAAAGAAAATATAAGATAGAGAATTTGAATATTAAACAATCTTAAAATAAGTATGAAACTTAAGCTAAGCCTAGCTACAAATACGACACTTCATTTTTTTTAAGGTATTAATTGAACACTGTAAATAACCACAATCAAGAACAAAATAGTTACTCTGAATTTTGACATTCTTGTGCTAATAAACTATACTCACATTCTCCAATTAGTAGCTTGTTTTTTCCCTTAAAGTTAGAGTGAGGAAATTTAAAATTTAAACATCAAATTTAAAAGAAATAATGATATAAATAGCATTTTTTTTTCCGGATGGAATAAAAATAAGTGACAAAATTTTTGGATTAGTTAATAAATAACAGAAAATTTAGGATTATCAAAATTTATCCCACGATCAAATTTGATAAATCTCAAATTTACTCAAAAAATGAATTTACTACATGATTGAATTTGATTTATCCAATATTTAACCGATTCACCCAAGAAAATATTTGGTAAATGCAAGATTTACCTGAATGTACCCCATAACTAAATTTGACAAATCGATAATTTATTTACATAGAGCCTCAAGTTATATACGTTTTTATTAATTTTTATTAATATCTTTAGTTAATAAACTCATTAGTTTTTTTTTCATTCGTACAATCTTCTTTTAAAATTTTAAATATTTATTTATTAACAATTATGTGAATATGTTATTTGCTGCCATAAAAATTCAAAACTAGGCCGTTAGCTAAAATTTCATAAATTAATAATAGATGTGATTTTTATTGCTAAGCTAATTAATAACTAAATTTTTGTTGTAATAATCAATATGCAACGTTACCAAGAAGGGTGGTTCTATTCACACACCTCTTTTTTATTCTTTACATCTCCTTTTAAATACATACCTCACATAATTTTAAAAGAACTAAATTTACTTTTTACACACCCCTATCATTCCAAGATTACCCTTAACTATTTTTGTTAAAAGAATTAATTCTTATCCATTTTAATTTTCTTTTCACGCCCATTATTTTATTTTAGTTTATTAATTAAATAATATTATTTCTCTATCCCTTCATATCTTTGTTTGTTTTTTTTTTTTTTTGAAGATTTGGGTTTGAAGGATTTTTTCAAAACGAAAGCAAAAAAAAAAAAAAAAATGAAATGGAAATAAAATCAATCAAATTTTATAAAAAAAATGAAATAAAAACAAAATAAAATGATTAGTCTTTTAAAAAAATAGTAAAAAATACAAACATTAAATGAAAAAAAGGCAAAATAAAAATCGTCATAAAAGAAAAAATTCAACATTATATCAATGTAACTTTTTGGAATAGTAATTGCAATGTGAAAATTATATACATTTTGAAATAATTATAGTTTATAATTTAGGATATAACATGTGGGGTGTGTAGAGAGCGATAAAAACTGTATGATTAGTTTCTTTTTTTAATTAAATATGTCATAAGTGTCTTTTTTTGTCATTGTATGTGAGGATCTTTTTGCCATAAGAAAATTTAAGATAAACGGGATGTGGAGAATAAAAAAAGGTGTGTAAATAAAACCACTCTACCAAGAAATATTATAGTTTCTCATAATGGAAAGCAAGATATATCCAATATTTCGATATAAGGAAATAGCTAGATTAAAGACGATAATATCTAACTTCATAATACATTGATAGAATCATTAGACTTACAAAAAATTTCTTTTTTCTCTATCTATTTCTTATGAAGAAATGAAGAATTTACTTTAGAGAATGAATGAGTCTAGAACTTTTACTCTTTATTTTTGATAAATATCCTTTTATTAGTGTAATTATTTGATTAAAAGGGTTATAAATCAAAAATAAAAAATAAAAATTCTGACTCATATACTTTTAAGGAGTATTTATTAAAATTACATATTTTTTATTAGAAACAATGGGCCGACAAAAATACTTGAGACCTAACAAAGACTTGAAAAAAAAGAAAGGAAAAAAAAAAAAAAGATCATGATGTTGAAGGGCATTATGAACTACATAAAAAACAAAACAAAAAATCAAGTAATCATAAAAAATATGAACGTTGTATGCCTAAAAAATCTCGAAGGTAGACTAGCAAATAGTTTCTCACGTGACACTTATCCAGCCGGAGTGACAAAAGGGCCGGGTGAAGGGTGGGTTGCACTGTTAATAAAGAAAGAAAAAGTCAAAGATTTATTTCTTTTCAGAAATCATATAGTGCATAACATATTTATTAAACTAAATTAAATAAATAATAAAATTTTAAATTATTTAAAATAAATAACAAATGTTACAACTAATAAAAAATAATTTACGGATAAAAAATCTAAAGAAAATAAAAACAAGACGTTAGGCCTGACCATCTTGAGTCTGGTTCCTATAACATACCAAAGAC